GGGCATCTAGGTGGCCTAGGAGTGAGGAAAGATGGAATAAATTGAATTATTTGGGAGTTTTCCCCAGTTTTCCCTAGACCAGATCCCTCAGGAGGGCATCTAGGTGGCCTAGGAGTGAAGAAAGATGGAATAAATTTAATTAATTGGGAGTTTTCCCAAGTTTTTCCAAGACCAGACCCCTCAGGAGGGCATCTAGGTGGCACAGGAGTGAGGAAAGATGGAATAAATTTAATTAATTGGGAGTTTTCCCAAGTTTTCCCAAGACCAGATCCCTCAGGAGGGCATCTAGGTGGCCTAGGAGTGAGGAAAGATGGAATAAATTGAATTATTTGGGAGTTTTCCCCAGTTTTCCCAAGACCAGACCCCTCAGGAGGGCATCTAGGTGGCCTAGGATCCCTAGACCAGATCCCTCAGGAGGGCATCTAGGTGGCATAGGAGTGAGGAAAAATGGAAAAAAAGGATTTCCATCCTTGTAATCCAAGAATTTTCCTGCCATGCAGCAGATGGAAAATGAAGCAGGGAATTTTTATCAAGGCAGGAGAAGTTTTACTATTTTAACTCCGTTGTTTTAAGGATTGTTTGTCTGTTTTTAAGTATAAAAACACCCCTGAATGCCTCTTTAGGCCTCATTTTCCTCCCTTCTCTCCCCACTTTCCCCCAAATCCCTGATGAATTATTGACACTCAAGATTCCCAAAATTTCCCAGCAGATTATCCCCAAATCCCTGAAAATTTATTGATACACAATGTATTTCCCAGTAGAAATTATCCCCCAAATCCCATCATTTATTTTTAAATAAATACATTTAAAATAAAATTTTAATTTTAATTTATAAATTAATATATTTATAATTTATTGACCCTCCAGATTCCCAAACTGATAAACTGAATTTCCCAGCAGCTTTCCCCCAGATCCCTGCTGATTTATCAACACCCCCAGATTCCCAACCCCATAATTAAATTTCCCAGTTTTCCCCCAAATCCCTGATAATTTTTGGACACTCAAGATTCCCAAACCCCAAATCCAACCCCAAATCCTGCTTGCTTTACCCCGATTCCCAACCCCACAGCCGCATCTCCCAGCACAAAATCCCTGCAGATTTACCCACCCCAGGAGACCCAGCCCCAGAATTCCCCAGCAGAACTTTCCTACCCTCTCCAGGTTTGGGGTCCCAGCCCAGCCTCTCCCCGATGGGGGAGAAGACGTCTCTGATGAACACCTGGATGTCCTCGTGGAAATCCGTGTGGGACAGGAGCGTGGCCAGGATGCCCAGGTTGCAGCTCAGGTCGCTCCACACGGTGTAGTTGGGCTCGTTCACAAAAGCTTCCATCACTTTCAGCACCTCCACGGTGCTGATGATTCCAGCTCGGGCCTGGGGGGAAAAAGAAAACAAACAAACAAAAGAGATTAATCCTGTTTTTTTTAATAGCTCATCAATTTTGTACCAATCCCAAAGGATTTTGCACCAGTCCCTGGTGCTGAGAGTCCCCAGAGGAGCTCTGGGGTTTGTGCTCTGCCCCAGTCCTGAAGGATTTTTCTCAGTCCCAAAGGATTTTCTCAATCCCAAGTGATTTTGGCCCAATCCAAAAGGAGTTTGCCCCAAACCCAGAGGATTCTGCCCCCTTCCCAGTAGATTCTGCCTCAATCCCAAGGGATTTCACCCCAATACCAAGGGATTCTGCCCCATTCCCAGAGGATTCTGCCCCATTCCCAGAGGATTCTGCCCCATTCCCAAGGGATTCTCCCCCATTCCCAAGGGATTCTAAGGGATTCTGCCCCACATTCCCAGAGGATTCTCCCCCATTCCCAAGGGACTCTGCCCCATTCCCAGTGGATTCTCCCCCATTCCCAGAGGATTCTGCCCCATTCCCAGAGGATTCTGCCCCATTCCCAGAGGATTCTGCCCCATTCCCAGTGGATTCTGCCCCATTCCCAAGGGATTCTCCCCCATTCCCAGAGGATTCTGCCCCATTCCCAGAGGATTCTGCCCCATTCCCAGGGATTCTCCCCCATTCCCAGAGGATTCTGCCCCATTCCCAGAGGATTCTGCCCCATTCCCAGAGGATTCTGCCCCATTCCCAGAGGATTCTGCCCTTTCCCAGAGGATTCTCCCCCATTCCCAGTGGATTCTCCCCCATTCCCAGAGGATTCTGCCCCATTCCCAGAGGATTCTGCCCCATTCCCAGAGGATTCTGCCCCATTCCCAAGGGATTCTGCCCCAATCCCAGAGGATTCTCCCCCATTCCCAAGGGATTCTCCCCCATTCCCAAGGGATTCTCCCCCATTCCCAGAGGATTCTGCCCATCCCGGGGCTCACCAGGGAGAAGAGGTCGTTCTGCAGCCCCAGCCTGTCCACGGGGGGCAGGGACAGGTCCTTGATGGCCGGGATGAGGCTCTCGAGCATGGCTGGGCTGTACTGGGTGCGGTAAAACCCCACCGTGCCCAGGTTCAGCTGCCAGCACAAAAACAACACAAAAAACACAGATTTTAGGGTTTTTATCTAAAATATATTATGGGTTTTTATCTAAAATATATTCCATGTTCATGCAGGTTGAAATGAAATTTATTTTGTATTTGTGTGTTTAAATAAAATACCATTTATTGTTGTATGTGTGTGTTTTTGTCTGAAATATATTTGATATTTATCTATATTGAAATGAAATTTATTTAATGTTTATATATTTAAATAAAATTAATTTATTATTCATTATTCTATTATTTATATTGCTTATTGTTTATATCATTTATAGAATATTATAGTATATTATAGTATTTTTATATTATAGTATTTATATTATTTATAATTTTTATTTATTCATTATATATTATTTATTATACATTATATATTATTTATTATATCTATTATTTATTATTCATCATAAACTCTTTATTAATATAAATATAATATATACCATTAAAATATAAAAATATAAATAATAATATATTATAAATATAAAATGTAATTTGTTGTTATATGTTAAATAATTATAATTTTATAATTATGTAAAATGTAATTTATATTTATATATAGTTGTATAAAATATGAGTCTAAAATAAGTCTTTGTATTTATATGTATTTAAAATACACCTCTGTATTTGAACTTATTTATCTAAAATTTATCTTTATAAATACTTATCTAAACTATATCTTTTTTATTTATACTTATTTATTTAAAGTTTATCTTTGCATGTATACACATTTACCTAAAATATCCTTGCATCTATATATATTTATCTAAGATATCTTTGTATTGTTATATATTTAAAATATACCTTTATATTTATGTATCTTTATCTCAAATACATTATATTTATCTAAAATACACCTTTATATTTATGTATATTTATCTCAAATACATCATATTTATCTAAAAGATACCTTTATATTTATATGTTTATCTAAAATATGTCAGTATACTAATTTATCTAAAGTATTTTTGTATACAAATTTACCTAAAATATTTTTGTAAACATATTTATCTAAAATCTATCTCTATATGTATTTTATACATAAAAAGCATATGTAGAAAGAGCATATATAGAAAAATAATATATTAAATTATAGATTAATATACTAAATATAAAAATTAAAATTTTAGTATATATAACTATATAGTATAGTATATATTTATATTATATAAAAGTAATATAATGTATAGACATATACAGATAGGAATTTAAATATAAATAAAGTAAGAGAATATATTTGATACATGGTATAAAGTATATCATAATTGTAATAATTATAATTATTATAACAGAAATGAGGTAATAAAATAATAACAATAACAATAATAAAATAATAACAATAACCATGATAACAATGACTAAAAAAGCCACCACATCTCAACTCAAATCCTGCCTTTAATTTCAGTTTTTCCCAGGCTTGAATTCCCAAAAAAATTCCAGTTGACATTGCAGGAAAATGGGAAAGGGAGGAATGGGAGCCAAAACTCCACAGGGAGGCCCCTCCAGAGGAAACCCAAAATTCCAAAGGGAAATGGAAATAAAAGAGGGAAAAAGAAAATGGAATTTTCAGGACTCACCTTGACCCACTGCTCTGGTTTGGTGTCCTTCAACACCACGGTGAGCTCCGGTTTGTCCATCAAAATCTGCATTTTGGCACTGCTGGGGTCCTCGCTCGTGCAAATACTGATGGGCACCATCCACATGGGGAAATCCTCCCCTGGAAAAGAGGGAAAACAAGGAATCAGGGGAAAAAAAAAAAAAAATGGGTGGAAAACACTGAAAAACGGAGCTGAAATGGGTCCCAGGTGTGGGTTCAGCGCTGAAAATGAAATTGGGGGAAAAAAAAGGCTCAAATCTGAAGGTAGAAATCTGAAATGTCAGTTTTTAGAGGTAAAAATCTGAGGGAAAATGTCAGTTTTAGAGGTAAAAAACTGAGGGGAAATGACAGTTTTGGTCTGAAGTAAAATGTCAGTTTTGGAGTTGAAAATTGGAAGGAAAATGTCTGTCTTAGAGGTAAAAAATCTGAGGGAAAATGTCTGGTTTTGAGGTAAAAATCTGAGGGAAAATGTCTGGTTTTGAGGTAAAAATCCGAGGGAAAATGAGAGTTTTAGAGTTAAAACTCCCAAAAATCTTTAAACCAACTTTCAAGCCAAACGTTTTAACTTAGATCAGCACGGAAGGCAAGTGGAATCACTGCTGGAATCAGCAGTGGCTCCCACCTGAGGCGTTTTTATTTCATTTATTTCAGTACCACCACAAAGCAGCTGCTCCCCAGACTTTCAGAGGGCCCTAAAATTGACATTTTTGAAGGAATTCTGAGCCAAGGAATGCTGATTTCCATGCCAAGATATGGAAACCATGAGTGGGAGAGGCCCAGCCTTGGATTTCCTCAGGTTTTCCCACCTGGATCCAGGCAGAGCACAGGCCTGAGGCTGTTTCAGCTCCCAAAAATTGCTGCTTTTGGATGAAAAGCAACAAAAACCAACAAATATCCCTTCAAAATTTGGATATTTTGTTGTTCTGTGCCCACCCCGTTCCTGCTCCCAGCTCTCTTACCAGTATATGGTCCACTGGCACAGAATTTCTTCTGGACCAACTTCAACACTTTGTCATCTTCTTGCTGAGGGAAAAAAAAATTTAAAAAAAGAAAAAAAGGCAAGAAAATGAGAAAAAGAGATGATCAGCACGTTTAATACCAGTCTCTGCCCTCAGTTTCATGGAATAATTTGGGTTTTTCCCCTCAGAAAAAGGCTCTGCCTCAGGAATTATTGCAGAGCACAAATCCCTGTCCCTGTTTTAACAGCCCCGGCCTGGATTTGCCGCCTGACTCCAGGCCCTGATCCTCCCTCATCCTGCAATCTTGTGGAATAAGCATAATTGGAGTGGAATTATTCCCTCCCCCCTGCTACAAACATTTCCCACACAGAGCAAAGTCAGCAAACTCCAGGGATCCAGGGAGTTTTGGGATGAATCCACAGGGATTTGGCACCTCCCTCCCGTCACAGCCAGAGCTGTGCCCACACGGAGCCTCCCCTGATCCAAGGGAACTCTCAAAATCAGGGAATGTTGTTAAATTTGATCCAAAATTAAGGCACAAATCCGTTTTTACCATCCCTTATCCAAGGGAATGCTCAAAACCAGGGAATGTTGTTAAATTTGATCCAAAATTAAGGCACAATTCCGTTTATATCACCCCTGATCCAAGGGAATGCTCAAAATCAGGGAATATTGTTACATTTGATCTGAAATTAAGGTACAATTCCGTTTTTACCATCCCTAATACAAAGGAATGCTGAAAATCAGGGAATAATTTTGGATCAAATTTAACAATAAGGCACAATTCCATTTTTACCACCCCTGATCCAAGGGAACGCTCAAAATCAGGGAATATTGTTAAATTTGATCCAAAATTAAGGCACAATTCCATTTTTACCATCCCTGATAAAAAGGAACACTCCAAATCAGGGAATATTGTTAAATTTAATCTGAAATTAAGGCGCAATTCCATTTTTACCTGCTCAGCCTCCACATAAATAAGTGGAAATCCCATTTGTTTGGTCCACGTGTTCATCACAGCAGCAATGGGTTTGCCACTGGCTTTTTCCAGGCTTTCCCAGAGATCCTCTGCAGGAGAAAAGGATCTGAATCAGGACTGCCAGAGTCTTGAGGTTTTATTAAGGACAGGACAGTGAAAGTTGGGTTCTTACTCCACACATTTTACACTTTTATGTTTTATTGAAATTTAACAATGACAGGCAAAAAAAATGTAAATAGTTTAAACCTCCTCAGGGAGGAGAGAGGGGAGAAGCAGCTTCTTTACTACTAAAAAACCCCAAACAATACATACCGTGATACAAAAATTAACATGAAATATTCAAAGAGAACAACATTTCCCTTTAGGTGGTTTTTTTTTATGTATTTTGTCAAAAATCCCTGATCAAACACCATGGATTGAATTTGGCTGATTGAGCTTTGACATCCCCACTTCCACATTTGTGCCTGATCCACAAAAATTAAAAGGTTTAAAAGCAAAAATATCAGACTTTGACCTGTTTAATCACAGGATCAATAATGCAAAAGGCTCTCTTGGCAAACCAAAGAATATTTATAAATTATAAATTAAATATAAATATAAATATAAATATAAATATAATTGTAAATTATAGCAGTGGTGACTCAGCCCTTGGAGATCACCTTAGCCACACACTCCAAGGATAGAAAATCCCCAGGGATGCTGAATCCTGCCTGTGGCAGGGAATGAAACTGGGAACAAGCCAGGAATTTCTTGGAATTTCAATTATTTCAGGAGTTTTGAGTCCAGAAATGACTTTTGTGCCCATCCCAGTGAGCCAGTTACCTGTGGCAGCATTCCTCTGCTGGAACTTGGTCAGGTACAGGTTCATTCCTTTCCGAAAATCCTGGGAATAAACAAGTGGAGATGTCAGAGGGCTTTCCTGTCCTCCCTCTGCTCTGCATTTATCCCCAGGAATCAGTCAAAGAATCTTTAAAATCATTAATTCTTTCTGTATTTCCCATTATCTCATTTTTCCCAGACAAGCTCAAGCAGAGCTTGAAGCGGTGAAATTCACAAAACACAGAAAAACATTTTTTTTTTCTCTTAAATTTTAATTTTAGTAAATTTCAGTTATAAAAAACGCCCTGAAAATCTCCACCTGAGTAATTTTATCTGTAAAAAAATGCCCTGAAAATGCCCATTTCCCATCTTTTTTACCTCATCCCCAATGTAGTCGTGCAGCATCCGGATCACAGAGGCTCCCTTGCTGTAGGAAATGGCATCAAATATTTCATCCACCTCTGAGGGATGGCCCACACTGACCTGTGGGAAGCAGGACAACCCCCAGTGAGGATTTGGGCTACCAAAAAATGCCATTTGGCTCGTGGCAGCGTTGCAGGGTTGAAAATCTGAGGGGAAATGTCAGTTTTAGAGGTGAAAATCTGGGGGAAAATCAGTTTTAGAGGTGAAAATCTGAGGGAAAATCAGTTTTAGAGGTGAAAATCTGAGGGGAAATGTCAGTTTTAGAGATGAAAATCGGAGGGAAAATCAGTTTTCGAGGTGAAAATCTGAGGGAAATGTCAGTTTTAGAGGTGAAAATCTGAGGGGAAATGTCAGTTTTAGAGGTGAAAATCGGAGGGAAAATCAGTTTTAGAGGTGAAAATCTGAGGGAAAATCAGTTTTAGAGGTGCAAATCATAGGGGAAATGTCAGTTTTAGAGGTGAAAATCGGAGGGAAAATCAGTTTTAGAGGTGAAAATCTGAGGGAAATGTCAGTTTTAGAGGTGAAAATCTGAGGGGAAATGTCAGTTTTAGAGGTGAAAATCGGAGGGAAAATCAGTTTTAGAGGTGAAAATCTGAGGGAAAATCAGTTTTAGAGGTGAAAATCTGAGGGGAAATGTCAGTTTTAGAGGTGAAAATCTGAGGGAAAATCAGTTTTAGAGGTGAAAATCTGGGGGAAAATCAGTTTTAGAGGTGAAAATCTGAGGGAAATGTCAGTTTTAGAGGTGAAAATCTGAGGGAAAATCAGTTTTAGAGGTGAAAATCTGAGGGAAAAGTCAGTTTTAGAGGTGAAAATCTGAGGGGAAATGTCAGTTTTAGAGATGAAAATCGTGAGGGAAAATGTCAGTTTCAGAGGTGAAAATCTGAGGGAAAATGTCAGTTTCAGAGGTGAAAATCAGATTCTTTCTCCCCAAGAATCCACTGCTGGATAGTCTGAGAGGAATCTCTGCCCCCAGACAACGAGAATTCCAGATATGGTTTAACTTTGGAAGTTAAACATGATTTAAGTTATGTTCTGGTGCTGGACCAGATAAATTTGGGGATCTTCCTTCCATCCTTTGCTTCCCAAAAGCAGCAAAACCCAGTGGGAATTATTTAATTCAGGGACAGTGAACAAGACAATGCTCAGGGAGTAAAATTCCCCGCTGGATAAAAATTTCCCAAAATTTATTTCACCAAGTATTTCTTAGAAACATTAGGATCCTGAGGAATTAAGAATCCTGAGGAATTTAGAATCCTGAGGAATTAGAAAGGAGATTTTTGGAGGGGCACAGCCAATCAAGGAAAGCAGAACCCACAGAGCGCAGCCGCTTCGCTCACCGCAAAATTCACTTTTTAATCACAGAAAAAGGAGGAAAAAAATTTTAAAAAAGTGTGGAAAAGCAGGATTCACCTCGATGGGGTGGCTGTTGTCTAAGGCATCGAGCTCCTGGGCTCGTGTGTAGTCAGCAGACACGAACTGGGTCCAGATGTCGTACTCGGGGAAGCAGTGATCCACGCACAGGTACTCGATCCACGAGGCAAAGCCCTCGTTCAGCCACAGGTGAGTCCACCATTCCTGCAGGGACACAAAAAATGGGGATAAAGGACAAAATTCCCTGGGATTTGTCCAGTCAGGGTGAGTTTGAAGCTTGGTTTGGTGTAGATCAGAGTATTTATTGTAATTAAATGGTATATATTACGTTAATAATATAATATAATATAATATAATATAATATAATATAATATAATATAATATAATATAATATAATATAATATAATATAATATAATATATAATATATAACATAATATAATATAATATAATATAACATAATATAATATAACGTAACATAACATAATATAATTTAATATAACATAATATAATATAATATATAACATAATATATAATAGAATAGAATATTTAGTAAATGTAATGTAATATAATATAATATAATGTAATGTAATATAAATTGTGTTATATGTTATATACAATATATTTTACATTATATATTATATTTTATATTATATACATAACATAATATACTATAATTTGTTATAATTAAATACATTAGTATATATTATATTAAATATTTAATTATATTAAATTATATTAAATATTTAATTATGTATTATATTAAATAATTAATATATCCTATATTATACACAGTCTATAATAACATATATTATATATATAATATTTTATATACTATATCGAAATATAGATATAGAATTATATCAATGTAATTTTTCAGGTTAAAATGAATATTTTATTTTATTTTTCTCCAGCCACTCTTAATTTTAATGGCTCAAAAGTCAGACCAAGGAAGTTTTGGGGCTCCAAAACCTGACTTTAAACCAGCATTTAAACATTAATTATTTTAACACAGTGTGCTGCTCTTTAGGGGTACCCAAACACAGATTTTGGGTAGGAGAGGAGGCAGGTTTCAATAAGAAATGGGATTTTGGAGGGTTTAGATACCATAAACCACCATTTAAATATTAAAATAATTATATTTTAATTATTTTAATAAACAATTATTATTTATAATAATAAATTATTATTGCTGCTGTTTAGGGGCACCCAAATACAGATTTGGGGTAGGAGAGGAAGGAGATTTGAATAGAAAATGGGATTTTGGAGGGTTTAGGTACCATAAACCACCATTTAAATATTAAAATAATTACGTTATCACAGCGTGCTGCTGTTTAGGGGTACCCAAACACAGATTTTGGGTAGGAGAGGAAGCAGATTTGAATAAAAAATGGGATTTTGGAGGGTTTAGTACCATGGTGACGAGGTTTCCAAACCACTGGTGAGCCAGTTCGTGTCCCACCACCAGAGCCACCCACTGGCGGGACGAGGAGCAGGAATTTTTGGGGTCGATGAGCAACGCAGTCTCCCTGTTTTGGAGAGAAAAACACAACTCAGCAGGGTGGGGAACAACCCCAGGGGGATAAAAAAAATACACCACAACCCAAAGGAGGTGAAATTACACCTAAGCAAGCTAAAAAGTGAGGAATAAAAACCCTAAAACCCCCCCAAAAAACCCCAACCCAAAATCTATTTCGATGTAGCCATGAAATTCTCAGGGCTGCTGGAATGCTTTGGAGCAGGAATTATTTTATGGC